TATTCTCAATCAACCTTTTTTAAAAAAGGTAGAGTGTAAATAGCTTGCCAAACATTTTTCATTCTAACTCTGCTATAACAAATGGATTAATTGTTGGGTAATTTAATCAGATGGCTTGCTGATAAAATTTGAGCAAAGACTTGTGTGTCCAGCACTTGAAAAATTGCTATGGGTTTTTCAGCTATGAGAAGTCTGTCCAGATGGCCCTAGTACGAAGGATAGTATTCAAAATGTTGTTCCCAGAGGATTGGCCAGCTGTATGTAACATGGAAATGCTTCTGTGAATTTTTAAAAAAACATTAAGTATAATGGAGAATACTGGAGAGAGCATTTAAATGTAATCCATTCACAATTTAGAGTAATTGACTCAGCTGGCAGGAGACATCTGAAATTAGGTTTTAACAGGCACAACTGCTAACATATCTGTCTCATACAAACTACATCTAGAACTAAGATGCTAACTCTTTGGAAATTGCCCTTCAGTTCATTCTTTCCAGCTAACACCTTTCTTGGCATTATTCAGAAATTTGCCACCTGCAACAAAAGGCCTTTCTAAAGCAGTCCAACACTTATTATTCTACTGAGAAACATTTGAGGGTACTTTAAATCTGTTTAAACATAGATAAATACAGTCAGGGCTCAACAGGTGGGAGCAGAAACCCAAACACCTACATTTGTAGCGAGAAGACATTTTTGGATGAGCATTTTGTAACAGCCTTGCAGAAGAGCTGGAAAAATGAATCAAGTCTCACACATTAGAAGCAGCATGTGTCACTTTTTATACCTTATGAAGCTTTTATGTTTCACATTAGCATCTTCCTGGAGTTCACCCATACCCTTCATAGCAGAATTTTGTACCGCCATCTGACAAAGCTGTATTCAGTCCAAGATTATGGTCTCTCACAGCTGCCGAGGGCTGAAGGTGTAGTGAGAGAGAAACCCGAATCCTTGAAACTCCCCACCACAGAAAAGAAGCAAATTTAACAGGGACCCAAGGAAGACCCATTAAGCCTTCATCATGCATTCATCAAAAAGGTGATCATAATCTAGACTTTACAGGCTCGAATGGTACTAAAGGAAAAGCAAATAAAACAACTCTGAGGATTTCTGTCAAGACAGACAGAATCACCAGGAAGGGAGGAAAATATGTCATTTTAGTGGACATAGCTACATTTAAAAGAGGAAAAAAAATTCTTGAGACATGCTAATGTAATCACATGTAATATCAAAATGTGGTCCTACTGTTATTTCTTACAATACAGGACTCATTCGATCATAAATAAAAGCTGTACAAAAGTTTTCTTCAGTTTAAGTGTTCATACTGTGTTTAGATTTCTTCCCTTCTTCCAATCTTCAAAGCTAGATCAGGTCACTTGTACTTAATTTTAAAATATTTATTCTATTTGATTTGTAGAAACAAATGGAAGACAGACTAAATGATATCAAGAGATGCTTATAAATAAGAGCAAATTAAAAAATAGAGCTGTAAAATCTAACAGCAAAAACATCATAATTTACAACTACGGTCCCCATTAATTTATTTTAGCACCATTCTTGCCTGTTAATATAAATATGCATATTACTAGCATAACTCATTGACACACATAGAACACAAAAGCACCATCAAAACCCAGTTTTTATGGTACGAGTAATTTAGATTAAATCAGATGCAGCAAAATGAGTTTTATTTATGCTTTCCTTCACTCACATTGCTTCATGGAACAGTTTTGTTAAACAAAATGTGAGGTGATAGGGTTTTTACTCTGAGATGGTGCCAGGGACAAATACACTAGGACAGTGCTAATTGCAGGAAAACACTGAAAAATAGAACTGACTAGTGACTATACCAGTGGAGGTAGCTGTTAGATAAAGTGTTCTTCTGCAGGTAGGTGTTTCCTAATAGGTTTAGAAATCCTTATGGTCTATCACTTTAGAAGGAAGAATATTTTGATCTGTATGACAGTGAGAATGATAAGGCTATTAAATCATAGGGAGGGAAGGAAAATGGGAAGGAAGGAGTAACTCAATACTCTTTCAAGTCCTGGAAGTTTTTCAGGACATTCACGGGTGGAGTGGAAAGCGAGAAAATGAAAACATTAAAATAATTTAAAGCTTAATTATTTCAATGGTTTTCTTTGGAGTAATAAGTAGAAGAATCCTGGTTCTCTTCTCCTTTCCCATCTCATGTGGAGGCAGAAGTCCTCCATAAGGTACATGGTAGCATATCTGGAAATTGTCTTCAAGTAAGTTCGGAACATGAATTACACAGAGGTACTGGGTTTTTTAATCTCCTAACAATTACTTTATTTATTAGGTGTGTGATAGCCTGGGGTTTATGATGGAGCACTTTATTGGCAAGTAAAGAAAACCATAGTCAGGAGTTCTACCTGGAGGGAAGTTTGAAGCTAGAGTAAGCAACAAAATAATAGGAGTACAGGGACAGTCTTTGGCTTCTCCTGAACACTTATCAAGAGTTTTCCAAAGAAAGCATGGAAATGGCTTTACTGTATGCTTAATTTAAAAAAAAAAAAAAAAAAAAAAGCTTTAACAGCTGTGTGTATAAGAGGTTTTAAGACTGTTCTCTCTACAGTGGCTTTGCTCCTGGAGGCCAAGAAAATTAATTAGGCAGTCAGAGCAAATTCAGACAACTGCATGATTTTAATTAAATCCTTTGATAAAGCTAGTGACTATTTTTTCCTAACAAAAGGTTCTAAAGTTTTAGAAAAATTCAATAGGTTCCTGAACAATAAGTGTGGAAAATTTGGAGACTAAATCAATCAATAAGCTAGGACTTAAAGGGATTTTAGTCCTGCCTTAAATGAAAAATCTTAATGCAGCTTCAGCTATGCTGTTTCTGTGGAAAGCCGCAGCAATATTGGTATCCAGTGCACATATTATCCCACATGAATGCCACTGACATACATTAAAGAACTGTCATGGCAATACAAGGAACATAAACCTGCTGATAGCATGAAATATTCTTAACATAGAGAAGGTGTGCTTTTTTTAAAGTTACAATAATTTTAAACTAATAATTGCTATGAACATGACTGCCAAACAT